AGTGGGAATGGGTACCCGGCTATAGACAGCGAAAGATCTTGTCAGCTTGTTAGTGTTAGTGTTTGAGCGCTTAATCAGCTGCTTGCACTGTATGCTTCCCGGGAAGCTGAGAATGTTTCGGAGTGTTCTGTGGTCCGCTGGGGGTAATAATATAGTGTAAAGCGCATAGAGCCTGCTGTTGAGCGGGGATATGCGCTATACAAATGCTATTTATTATTATTACATATGAATGTATGCGCGTTCAGATTCTGTTTATATATATATATATATATATATACAAATAAATATAAGCGTGGTTGAGAAGACTAAACAGAGCGATGTTTGATTTTATCTTGTTATATTAACCGCGGTCAGGCAAAAGCGATCAAGCTATAGAATAGTTCAATAATGACGACTGTGGCGTCATCTTCTCTTTGCATCTTTTTCATTTTCCACCCTGGTGGCTCCTGGCCAGATAGGCAACTTGTTTCGTTTAGTGTGACAATCAATTGGATTATGAGAACCAAAACTGGAAACAGCATCAGACCGCACGAAAACCTCCTGATTTCAGCGAAAAGACACAAACCGAACTGGTAAAGGCACATCACACGACCATCTGGATTTCCCTAGACAATTCTACAGGGAGCAGCACAGGGAGGAAGACAAAGAGGCAGGCAGAGGAAACGATGCCAAGACAACATCAAAGAAAGGACAGGCCGTGACCAGAACATCATACAACGAAAAGCTGAGAGCCGTGAGGAGTGAAAGAAGATAACTCTTCAAAATCAAAAGTGATGTCCCAAAGTTCAGACAGACTACGTGATAAAAGTGAAGGTGAAGTGTGACAAGACGAGTAGTTACTGCTAAGGCTGGTCACCTGGGGTGTTAACTATTCATTTAAAGTCAGCTTAAAAAGAAAGAGATGTAAACTACAGTAAACACTCTTCTCTGATACTTTTGAGCAAGTGGGTTGAGAGCCATGTAAACTCCCCAAACCGCCAACATAAAATATCCAGCATACACATATATTTAAGTAAAGAGAAATTTTCGAACCACAGTCATCCAGGCCAACGTTAGGCATGATACCAACAGAGTTGTCGGTGGTCTTTTACTTTCAGCTCCAGTAAATGAACTGGAAGGTAGCGTTTAAGGGTCATTTTCAACGTATACATATTATAATAATTTAAGAGGCAGGTCCTCCGATTCAAACCCCATTATCGAAAAGATTGAGCGCAGTGTGTATGTATAGCCATGACAAATTTAAACAAAAGATATTCATTAAAAGAACTCTTTAAAAAAAAATATAAAAAAAAGGACAGACCAGCACCGTTTTCGCGCAATTATCCACTGAGCTAACAACGCCCGTATAATAAAGAAATTAGAAGGTCCCCTACAACATGAACGCTGCAAGAAAACCATGCTTTCGTAGGATTCGATCCACTTCGCTGTGGAGAAAAGACTATCAACCCAGCATATTATAAATATTCTGCGTTTGTTGCGGCCGCGACCACGAATCGCAGTTGTGATTTTTTGTAATTTTTGGTCTGCGAATCACGTCCGCAATATTTGCATTTTAAAAAATCATAAAAAATAATTAAATAGACATCGCTGGGGAATAAAATATCCCCCCCCCCCCCAGGGAAATAAAAAATCGGAAAAAAGGAACAGAAAACGAACCTCTTTACTTTTAGAAAGAAAGTTCATTTTTACTTCCACTTCACTTCGTCTCTTTCTCGCACAGGGTTGGTGATTTTTTTGATCTTTTAAATACACATTTAAAAAATCGATTTTTAACATTTAAATCAGATTTTTTTAATTTAAATCGGATTTTTAAATATATTTTTTTATTTTAAAAAAATGTCGACTCAGTTTGGGATTTTTGGTGGCTAAAAGTAGGTTCTTTTAGTGCAAAATGCATTGTCTTTATTTTAACTAATGAATAATTTGAGCAACTGCAAAAGAAAGCCTTAATCTGCTATATTCAGTGAATTATGGCTACAGACAAAAAATGAAGAAAATGTCAGTCTAAAAGGAAGGGGGGAGGGGGTAATTATGCATAGATAAACTTGCATTTTATTACAGTGTGTGTGTGTGTGTGCGCTTGTGTTTGTCTAAAAAGAAAAAGAAAATGCTAATTTCAATTATGAAAAAAAGTAAATTGAATACTGTATTATTTTACAGTGACAGGGGGGAAAGCAGACTTTTAAGCATGATTATATTAGTCTACTAAACCTTATATCTGTTTGATAAAACCAAGGAAAGGAATTCTGAATGTTTAAATATGTAAAAACAGAATACATTTTAAAAAAGTGATTTAAATCACTGATTTTTATTTAAAAAATCAAGTTGATTAAAATTTAAAAAATCAACTGATTTAAATCAACCCAGCTCTGATTTCCATTATGGAAAAAAAAGTAAATTGAATACTGTATTATTTTACTGTGACAGGGGGGAAAGCAGACTTTTTAAAGCATAATTATATATTAGATCTAGTCTACTAAACCTTCTATCTGTTTTATGAAACCAAGGAAAGGAATTCTGAATGTTGAAATATGTAAAAACTGAATAAAAATAAATTTGAAATTTTTTAAATTTAAATCACTGATTTTTATTTTAAAAATCAAGTTGATTTAAATTTTTAAAAAATCAACTGATTTAAATCAACCTGATTTAAATCAACCCAACCCTGTTCTCACACTCGTTGACACATCGTTGATTTGTCCATTGGGGGCTGGGGTCGGGTCGGGTCGGGTACGTTTGCTTGCCAGATTGAGGGCGCTATCTTGGCATCTTGGCACAAGCCGATCGCGCCCGACTCCTGCCTAAAATCAAACGGTGGGGGGTGGGGGGGCTACACCCCAAAGTCCGGATTCGGCTCAAAATTATGGAACTTGAGTTGTAGGCATTTTTAGCTTCCTCAGTCTCTCCTACAACTGTTTCATTGCATACGAACTCACAAAAGCCTTATTTATTCCCATACCAGGCATGTTTGTCACCACCATGTCCTCATAATTTCAAATTTTACATTTTCTTTATCGGCTGTTTTTTTCAAAACGCGATTTTTCTCTATACCTTTTTGAATAACTCCACCATTTTTCATCCAATCTTCATGCAATTTTCACAGAATGAAGAGAAGATGTAATACTAAAAAATTTATTTATAGGGAATAGATTTTTGTTGGTGGTGTCTGGAGTATGGATTTTAAGGGGTTTTTTGCAAGCTGGAATACTTCCTCAGGAAAAAATTCAATACAAATTTTCTAATTCATTTAAGAAAAAAATCAACAAACAAATATTTAGATCTAATGTTTGCCAACATGCATGCAAAAATCAATCAATTTCCATAAACAATAAGCACAGTATTCATTACGTAAGACATGTCAACAAAATCCAATATAGCCGCCGTATCCCAGGAAACGAAACTTTTTTTTTCAAAATTGATTGCGGATTTTAAGACTCCTTGTCATGCTAATAGTATAGTCTACGTCGTCACAGAGAGCTGAAAGCTTGAAAATTATTGACAACTTTTATGCAACTTTTCCCATTTTTTGAGGCAACTTTTGGCAACTTTTGGATTCTAAAAATGGCAACAAACGTAGCTGTTATATCAACAAAGAATAACAATGCGGTGTGTCTGAGTCTCCACACAAAATGAACCCTACTTGACAAAATGAAAAGTAGACAAATACAATACTTTGGTCATGTATTATAAAATGCCACCAGACCATTATGAAAGTAATAGTAATACTCGAAAGCGAGATGTGGGACAAACGGGCCACGGGCGGACAAAGGAAAACGGGGACCGAAAACATCAAATTATGGACGGGCCTAAGTATATGTATTTTATAACTGAGTGTATAAACTGGCAGGTTATGTACGTCAACCACTGAGCCAAAAAATGACAGCTCCGGGTATCCTTTTCTTTTTCGTCTTTTTTTAGTATGCTTTTTTTTTTTTACGGCACTTGCAACTGCATAAGGTCATATGAGAGCGCCAAAGGGTGGATGACAATAGAGAAGCCCACACGGGGAATCAGGCATAGTCTGCTCACCTCTCTAACAGCACAAAGTCTGCTTCGACTATCAAAGCACCCTGGAAATAGCAGTTCACAAGAGATTGACAAACATACAAAAGAAGTAGAGGAAAAATGAAGATCGTAAGCATGAGGAAAGAAAAGGCAGCAGTCCCCCCAATGTTATTCCGGCACAGTGTGAGCATGACTTTGATAAATCAGCCCATTTACAATTCTACAGTGCATAAGAACATGATAATATTCCCCCTTTGGGAAATGCCTAATCCAGGTATCCAGGCTCCAGAGTTATAAAATATATACATAATGTAAATCTATAACTGTGGTTGAACTAAAGGAACACTTGGAGACATGATGATCAAGGCATAACAGATTTCAGACAATTTATTTTTATTTTAAAGGAACACTTGGAGACATGATGAACAAGGCATAACAGATTTCAGACAATTTATTTTTATTTTAAAGGAACACTTGGAGACATGATGAACAAGGCATAACAGATTTCAGACAATTTATTTTTATTTTAAAGGAACACTTGGAGACATGATGAACAAGGCATAACAGATTTCAGACAATTTATTTTTATTTTAAAGGAACACTTGGAGACATGATGAACAAGGCATAACAGATTTCAGACAATTTATTTTAATTTTAAAGGAACACTTGGAGACATGATGAACAAGGCATAACAGATTTCAGACAATTTATTTTAAAAAAATAAATGCTATTCAAAACAAAAAATTCTAAAAATATTATGAATTATAAGCTTCTGACTGTAAATAGCAAGCAGCCTGCCTGTCTGTCTGTCTGTCTGTATGTTTGTCTGTCTGTCTGTCTGTCTGTCTGTCTGTCTGTCTGTCTGTCTGTCTGTCTCACTGTTTCCTTCCTTCCTTCCTTCCTTCCTTCCTTCCTTCCTTCCTTCCTTCCTTCCTTCCTCCTCCTCCACCTCCCTTCCTCCCCCTTCTCTTCCTCTTCTTCTTTCTTTCTTCTCTCTTTCGCTCACTGAATACAAGGTATACATTATACACGTGCACGACACACGCACGGTACGCAAGCTCAAAAACACATATAAACGCAAAAGCAGTTGAGGAAAAAAATCCTCAAAAAATGAAATTAACTAAAACCTGTTCGGTTGATTTGCAGAATAAACTCTCTTAACTTTAACAAAGCGTATTCGTTAATTAAAAAAGACTGACTTTCAGAATTCAGAAATGCGTGTGTACGTTGTTAAGTATACATTGCAGTTGTCATCAAATCAGAAAAACGGACTCAAAAGATCCTCTAGATCTGCAATAGACTTAATCCACCAGGCATTGTCAACACCTCCACGCCGAAATTTAACGAATTGTTCGTCCTCATTGACTCCAGAATCTCGAACTGACATACCGTTTTGATCAAGACAGCTAACAGGATGAAAGACATGTCCACATTATGCCCTGTCCTGGCACTCGTCTCCACATAGAGCAACTCCCTTTCCTTACAGAACTCTAAGACACGATGGTAGCTCAGGACACGAAGAGTCTTCTGATCACACTTCGTGCCTACCACCAAAATACAGGGTTTTTCCATCAGGGATTTTATTTCTCGAACCCAGAGCTCAACTTCAGTCAAAGCGTCCGCATTTGTCACATCACACGTGACAACGAACCCCTTCGGAGGGTCATGTTGGAATTCATTATTGTTGTAAAGAATATTTGAAAGTCCAGAGGGCCCGACGCCAGGTTGGTGGTACAGCAAAAACATCGCAACGTCTCCGTCAAGGTCAGAAGCTTTTATGAAACTGTCCAGCCTGCTCGAACCCAGAGGAACATGTCTGGAGTCGGGGTAGAAAGTTTTGTCGCAAAACTGTTGGATCAGACTTCGTTTACCTGAGCCATCTTTACCCAGAACTAAGATTCGGAGCTCGTGAAAGTAGGAGGAACTCCAGTCGACTCTAGGCCCTCTGACTTCCCGGTCCTCGAGGACGGCCTCGTCTCCCATCAGAGTAAGTGGTCTGTGACCGTTGCCCCAAACCAGTGTCCTCGTCCACTCCTGTAAACAGAAAATGTGTGTTGTAGTTAGTAGCTATAAGAAGTTGCTTTCGACTTGATATTGTAGGGTTGTTTTTGTTAATTAATAAGGCATAAATAAAGGTATAAATTATAAAGATCATTTCCAAGGACAGGCAAGCGTGGCGTCGACTGCTCTCAGCCTTATGTACCTGACGGTATAGGGAGAGAGTAGGTGAATAAGTAAGTAAAAAAAAAGTTGCTGTCGCATCCGATCCGGACATTGGGGATTGCCTTGTTAGTAAGACAACTTCCTGGGCGTTCGGCATATTGTGGTAGGGTGGCCAGTTCCGTTCCAGGCCGCCTTTACTTCCCCAACTCGAAGTCAGGTATCCATTACTGCTGGGTGGGCAGGAGGGGGCGAAAAAATCCGTGTCCGAACCGAAGCTCAAGCCTGGACTTTCCGCTTCGGAGACGAGCGCACTTATAACCGTTCGGCCACCGCACCCTCTAAGTAAATAAGTAAGCATAAAGGACATCATTTTCCTTCTTCTATTTTTAAAAACCCAGAACCGATTTAATTGGTAAACCATGCCGAGAAGTAGAAATTATTGTTTCTGGTAGATGACGTTAGCATTGTTTGAGAAGATATATTTAGTCAAACTGAAAAGAACCCCCCCCCCCCCT